CAGGGAATAAAAAGGACAATTACAGATCAATCCTAGACATGGGGATCACAGGTGGGGGGGGGGGGGGGGGGAGGTATTTTCCTTGGGGGGAAAATGTGTAATTAGCCTTTCCCTTTCTCTCTCTCTCTCTCTCTCTCTCCATCCGCCTATCTATTTATGTATCTTTAATTTTAATTTTCATTTGATTTTTCAACTGTATAATGAATAGAATTAAACACCATTTTTTACCAATTACTTTGGTTTTTTGGTTAATGATTGGTATAAATGAAATGACATTATAAATTTAACACAAAATAAGTAAAAAAATAATTTTGTTATTATGTTTGAGTAAAGATGACATTTATGTAATTCGTTTGCTTGGTAGAGTTGGTCGAGTACTTGAATTCTTGACAGGAGGAGAGAGAAGGTGTAGGATTACAAGCATTAAGAGGGTAATTTATTACGAGTATTTGTGGGAGGAGGGTGCATCATCATCATCATCATCATCATCATCATCATCATCATCATCATCTATGCATATTCATTGTATCAAATCAAATCTTACAGATCTTGAGAGATACGTTGTTTGATTTTGTTTTATGTTACCTTCATCAGATCATTATAATATTACATCATGTTTATGGTATTCAATAATTCTTTTTTTTTTTTTTTTAACTAATCCACGTTTTGTGATTTTTATTTCTTTTTTGTATTGAAGTCATGAGTTTGTTCCTCTGGGGCCAATAAAAAAATAATAATAATAATTATTTTTGTAATTTTACTTTATAAAAGATTTGTATTAAGTTTTATCCTCATTTTAGTTTTTTAAAAATATTGTATTGAAATATTGGAAGTACAATTAAACTTAAATTTTGAAAGGAAAAAATATGTTGCTAAGTGAAATATCTCATGACAATTGCTGTTACTAATAACATGACAAATATGTAATAATTCACCTCTAATACTTACTTAAATTGATGATTTGATATATAAATATGTAAGTTGATATGACGACATCAAAGATATAATAGATCAAGTTTCCAAAGTTAATAATTTTACTAATATGAACGCACGGTAGAAATAAAAAACTAGCTAATAAGTTCACAAAATATAAGATTTTGACAATAATTGATGTTGTTAACCATACCAGAGATGTCAGTAACAAATATATATATATAATCTTATATATAATTATTCTTAAAATAAGCTTATGAGTATAAATTGATTGTTTCCAAAATTAATTTTAAATTTAAACTAATACATCCAAATAATTAATTATTTACGAAATTAAATTCCACAATTAGTTAATACATACATGTAATAAGTCATTTTAAATTAATTTGATTTCACATATACATGCTTATACAAAAAAAGTGAAAATTTAAAATAAAAATAATATTTAAAAATGAAAATAAAAAGGTATCTTATCGTTTTTAAAAATAATAACAAATATCTAACTTTTAAATGCTATATGTATATGTATGTGTGTGTGTGTGTGTATATATTAATTTTGATCAGAGACAAACACTTGATCCAAGTTAATGTTGCGTTGGGACTACATTTAAGATTAAGGAGCAAACCAACTAAAAATGCTGAAAAGTGTTGATGAGTTAAAGAAAAAGAAGAAAACAAGAAGATATAATTTTTTAGAGATCCGAAGGAAGAGTTTCAGAAAGAATATATATATATATATATATAGAGAGAGAGAGAGAGAGAGACTTAGAGCTTAACTAGGAGTTTCAAAAAAACATTAGTAAATTTAAGGACAATTTGCTTCAAACCCTTGCTCTCACCACTACTTACTAAATGAATATCCTGAAATTCACAAGTAGAAAAGGAAAGTTAGAGACAAAGCAATAGAAATAATATATTCTCAGAGTACATTTGTTATTAGAATACCAATAATTCTAGCAAAACCTACATATATAAATATATTTTTGATCGTTGAATAAAACACATAAAAATAATAATTTTTAAATCTCTCTCTTTGTAGTGATCACTTTCTATCAAGTTTATAATTTTTTATTTAACTCATTCTAAAAGAAAAAAAAGAGAAGAATATTTAAAAGGTGAAGCCAAATACCATTTAAAAAAAAAAAAATTCTTCTCTCCACCTCCTTCAAGCTTCATGGCAAAATATCTATTTTTAAAGAATGAGTTTTAAAGTAATTTTCTCATCTTCTTTAAATAATATTTTTTATCAAATATGTGTTTTGAAAAAGAAACTCAATAGAGAAAATCTTATTTTGAACATAAAAAAAAATATTTTAAAGTTTGTTCTTTCATAATTATATATTATATTTTATAAAATAATATTTGAGGATTGGTTCTAAAAGAAAACAGCATGTGGGATGATGTCAAATGATAAAATTTATATGATTTTTTAAACTAAAATCTATATCTAAAGAATTTCTCAATAAGAAATATAAATCTACTATACTTGTGTGTACTCTTATTGTACTAAGAATATTATGATTTAATGTTGTATATGCTATATATCTTCATCATGATGTAACATTCAATATCTTTATTGTATGCCTCTACAAGTAGTTGCAGCATGTGAGATAATGGCCAACCTACACCCCCCCCCCCCCCCCCGTGCTAAGATCAAACTAAAGTATAAGTTGTTTAAGCTATTATTAGTTCTTTATTTTAGTAGTTAAAAATTTATAAAAGTCAAAATTAATTAGCTACCCTTTCTTATTGCCTATTATTTTTTGAAATTTATTTTTTAATCAAAAATTGTGTAATTTGGTATTTATTCTCATTCTGAATGAATTAGCGACAATTACTTAAGTTTATTTTTTACTGTTATAAAAATACTAATTAATAATTACTTGTTGATAAATCGATTTTGTTATATTGTTTCTTGATTAATTGGAGACTCTGTTCTGTACCAAGAAGGAAGGCGGCACAAACAATGACCACTCTAGTTAAGCCACGTGTCACGCCTGCAGCGTCTAGGGTTTATGCAGCGCTATGATTTGTATCCTCGTCCCATTCTGTCATAAGGATACTGATTCAGTATATCCTGCTAACAGGTGGTCTTCATCCTCAATCTCTCAACTGTAGTCTATTGACTCTCTTGAGGCTAATCCCTTGGACTCAAAATATGGGGAAGAAGAAATTCATCGACAAGAAAAAAGCTGCAACTTTCCAGTTACTCGCTCGCGACTCTTCCGATCCTAATTACAATGACTCATCTGGCAGCGACCGTATCTTTGTGCGAGTCGACAACGGTAACATCTCGGTGAACAGCTTTTTTAATGATGATGGCGATGATGGTAATGCAATATTCTCCGATGCGCCCGAAGATAATGATGGCGGAAATGACGATGATCGGGTTTTTGGAAATTCGACTGCGTTTAACGGGGGAATTGCTGGGCCCGGCAATGGAACGGGGTTGCCGGAGCATGTGAGGAGAGAGATTTTGGAGTTAGGGTTTCCTGATGATGGTTATAATTATCTGATTCACTTAAGAGAGATTAAGAATACCGGTGGGGGTTCGGCTTTTTATCATAATCCTAAGGCCAGGCTTGATCAACTTCCTCATGATGTCAAGGTTGGTCTATTTCTTCTTTTTTCTTTTCTTTCCCTCTGTTCTTCTCTGCTATAATAGTTATCGGTTTGGTTGATTAGAAAGTGGAAGGAAAATCAAAACTAAAAGGGAAAAAGAGAAGAACAATTCTCAGCTTTCCATGTTATCAATTTTCATTCCTCTGAAAAGTACAGCATGTTAATAAATTCAATTATTCATTCTCATGCGCTGCTTCTGTGAACCATGTTTACCGTCAAATACTTTTGTTGTGGTTGTTTTTCAGGCATATGACGCCTCTAGATTGCAGATTTCTCATGTGAAAGGCGATTCTGATGAGAAATCCATTTATGGTGTAGCCTCCGGAGCCGTTAATGTGAGGGTGCAGAAAGCTGTTGATCCTGATGTGACTGCATTGCTTGATGATAGTGATTTATCCAGGTTTGGTTCTGATGTTGAGGACCTGGAAGAGGATTTTGTTGTTCAAGCAAATCTTCCGGAAGAAGGGGGGAAGGATTTAGATATAAGAAACAAGCTCACCTTGGTTGAGGAACTCGAGGCAACCAATGAAGTAGACTATCCTACTTTTAGTCGTCATGACAATGCCTTTCGCCTTGTTGATTTGGATGAAGAAAAGAAACAATCCACAAGTGCAGGAGATAATTTTGCTAGTGAGAAAACAAGAGTTCATCGTCTTTTGGATGAGCAATTTGATTTGGTGAGACTTTTGTCTGTATCATAACATTTCTCTTTCTTGTTTGATGTGTAGAAGGATCATTCAATTTTCATCATGAGCAGTCCATTCATCAAATTAGCTAGCAAAATATAAGAACATCATAATATGGTAATTTGCTGTCTTTGGGAATCATCAATTTCCTGATAATCAATTTTGACACGTGGACACACTGATCTTATTGACTGGAGCTTAGCAGGACAGTCTTTTTTGTTGTTCTCTATGGTGGGGCGTGAAGTTATTGATTCGTGCCTGTATTAGAAACAGACTGCATAAAGGAATTAGTGTGTGCTAATGCTTGTCTGATTATGTCTAGAATTTTGCGTTGTACTTGCAAGTTTATAACATTTTATCTCATTCTAAGTTCATCATGTATGCTATCACTTGCATCCAATGCCAGTTTAGTATCCTTATTGTTATTTATTTATTTGTTTTAGCAAAAATTGTAGTGTCTCATCTTTG